AAAGCACTTTGGAAATATATGTGATTATTGTTGCATTAGAAGTAAACCCAGGATAAGAAAAAAATCCATTAACAAGTGTTTCTGCTAAACGCTTTCTCAGGTGGCCATTCAAAGATACATTTGAAGATGCAAAACAGAGGAGGCCCAATTACATTTTCCCAGTAAGAAACACTTGAAGCATCCAACAAGTGCTAATCACAGAAAGCCATCAGAGAACTGCAATTTCTAACACAAGCAAAAAAGCAAATTCCTTCCTCACAGGCAACAGCCTAAGACTTGCTTTAAAATACACCATTTTAGAGGCTTCCATCTTAGAGACCTTTGCCTGGGTAAATAAGTTGCCTATATTTACCCAAGTAAAGGGCATAATAACCGCTTGATCTTACAGTTGTCACCAGCCTAGGAGATTTGAAAAAATTGGAGTTTTATATCACTCTTAAACCTAACATTAGGTCAAAGCCACTAGGGTTGAAATGATAGTAGAAAATGCAGTGTCCATTTTAACATTAACCAGATTTCTTATTTTGATAAAATTTTATTTTCTAGGTCATATATAATCTCAGCCTTTGCATATGGCTCAAGTTTCACTTTTCTGCTAAAAAGTGAGATGACATCTATAAGCCACTTAAGCCACTGAGCACATAATATGCACCCAATGAATGTTAGTTTTCTTTCCTTTTCCTTGAGGGCTTATCTTGTTCTCTCAAATTCTTTTAATCCAGTTTGAAAAAGAAAAATAGTAATAACAACAAGAAGTGCCATTCAGTTGGTGTTTAGTATATGTGGTCATCATGGAAACCAATGTACATTAAACATGCTCTAATTTGTACAACTCTGTGGCACAGATCCTATTATTATCCTCATGTTACATATGAGCTTAGGGAAATTGCCCACAAATTTAGATAGCAAGTTTTAAAAAGGTGGATAACCTCCTCTCCCAAACTGGTCAAAAAGGAACATCCAGAGATTTCTGTGGACACTCTGTAACAAATTTGCAAGACTGAAGACTGATGGTTCTAAACCATGCACTCTTTTTTCAAATTTTTATTTTATATTGAAGTATAGTTAATTTATAATGTTGTATTAGTTTCAGATTACAACAGTAATTTACATATACACGACTGAGCAACTGAACTGAACTGAACTGATATTATATATATATTCTTTTTCAGCTTCTCTTCCCATGTGTTAACATTATATAATAATGATATATATTATATAATATATATACATATCCTTCTTCAGATTATTTTCCTATAGGTTAATATTATATAATAATAATTATATAATATTTATATACATGTTCTTTTTCAGATTCTTTTCCTGAAAGAAAATAGGTTATCACAGAGTACTGAGTAGAGTTCCCTCTACTATACAGTAGATTCTTGTTGATACCTATTTTATATATACTAGTGTGTATATGTCAATCCCACTCTCCTAATTAAAACTGTGCACTGTTAATGTGCTTTATATAAATTCTAAAAGAGTCAGCTTGTTAAAGAAGAGTGGTTACTGTTTCGCTGTTTATAGAATTCATCTTTTAGGACTCTGTGTTTGTGGTAGATAGCTAGATGCACAGAGAAAGAGTTTGGAAAACTTCTTACGGTTTTTCAGAGCAAATTGTTTATTCTACTTTCTTAAGGGCAAATGCATAGCCTTAATTTATGTAAGCACTGAGATGGAGCCATATAAATATGCACCATATGCCTTGGGTAGCAGATCATTCGGGACGCTGTCGAGGCCAAGTGGAATCGTATCAACAAGTCCTTCAGAGTTCAGTTCTTCTCATCCTTGAAAATGAGTTTAAATTGCCTTATTAGCGAATACTGCTCTATGATTCCTGATTGCTCTGCCAAGCAGCAACTATACGGTGTTTCATTAATTACTTCCAGATATTTATTACATTTTCTTATAGAGCAAGGTGATTTTATTTGTGGGATCATTTTTCATCATGGAAGAGAATGTCAGCCTCCAAAATAGGTCACATTAATTTTTCACTCACTATACTTTCACTCCTGCTCTGGCCCTGGTTGGAAGAGCCACACCCCAATCTGAAAGTGAAATGAAAGTGTTAGTTGCTCAGTCTTGTCTGACTCTTTATGATCCCATTGACTGGGGCTGGCCAGGTTCCTCTGTCCATGGGGATTCTCCAGGCAAGAAGAGTAGAGTTCAGTTCAGTTCAGTTCAGTTGCATCCGACTCTTTGTGACCCCATGAACCGCAGCACCCCAGGCCTCCCTGTCCATCACCAACTCCCGGAGTTTACCCAAACTCATATCCATCAAATTGGTGATGCCATCCAACCATCTCATCCTCTGTCGTCCCCTTCTCCTCCTGCCTTCAATCTTTTCCAGCATCAGGGTCTTT